CAAGCTTCCTTGTCTTGTGACATGAAAAGTCATATATGATTGTGTTTCTTTTAGCTCTCATATGCTAGTACTATGATGGTTTGTTGCCATGCAAGGAAGACCAGGGTGCTATTAATCTGAGGAGCTCATTCCCATCTCTGTTTAACACTTGCATATGCTCCCTTCCAGGTAGCGATGGGCTTCTTTCAAGTGGGCTTTGTCTCTGTCTACCTCTCAGACGCCTTACTGAGTGGGTTTGTGTTGGGTGCCTCCTTCACCATTCTCACATCTCAGGCAAAGTACCTCCTCGGGCTGAGCCTTCCTCGGAGCAATGGTATAGGCTCAGTCATCACTACCTGGATCCACATCTTCAGAAACATTCATAAGACCAATGTCTGTGACCTCATCACCAGCCTTTTGTGTCTTCTGGTCCTTTTGCCTACCAAAGAACTCAATGAACACTTCAAGGACAAGCTCAAGGCACCAATTCCAACCGAGCTCATTGTCGTTGTGGCAGCCACATTAGCTTCTCATTTTGGAAAACTACATGAGACATATAATTCCAGTATTGCTGGACATATTCCCACTGGGTTTATGCCACCCAAGGCACCAGACTGGAGCCTAATTCCTAATGTGGCTATAGATGCAATAGCTATTTCTATCATTGGTTTTGCTATCACTGTATCACTTTCTGAGATGTTTGCCAAGAAACATGGCTACACAGTCAAAGCAAATCAAGAAATGTATGCCATTGGCTTTTGCAATATCATACCTTCCTTCTTCCACTGCATAACTACTAGTGCAGCTCTTGCAAAGACTTTGGTTAAAGAATCTACAGGCTGCCAGTCCCAGCTGTCAGCTATAGTGACAGCCCTTGTTCTTTTGTTGGTCCTTCTGGTAATAGCTCCTTTATTCTATTCCCTTCAAAAATGTGTCCTTGGTGTGATCACTATTGTAAATCTCCGGGGTGCCCTTCTTAAATTTAGAGACCTGCCAAAGATGTGGAGGGTTAGCAGAATGGATACAGTCATCTGGTTTGTTACTATGCTGTCCTCTGCTCTGTTGAGCACTGAAATAGGCCTGCTTGTTGGAGTTTGTTTTTCTATGTTTTGTGTAATCCTCCGTACTCAGAAGCCAAAGGTTTCACTGCTTGGTTTGGAAGAAGAGTCTGAAACCTTTGAATCCATTTCTGCTTACAAGAACCTTCAGACCAAGTCAGGCATCAAGGTTTTCCGCTTCATAGCCCCTCTCTACTACATAAACAAAGAATGCTTTAAATCTTCTTTGTACAAAAAAACTCTGAACCCTATCTTGGTAAAGGCAGCTTGGAAGAAAGCAGCAAAGAGGAAGCTCAAAGAGGAAACCGTGATTTTCAGTGGCATCCAAGATGAAGTTTCAGTGCAGCTTTCCCATGATCCCTTGGAGCTGCACACTATTGTGATTGACTGCAGTGCAATACAGTTTTTAGATACAGCAGGGATCCACACACTAAAAGAAGTCCGAAGGGATTATGAAGCCATTGGCATCCAGGTTTTACTGGCTCAATGCAATCCTTCTGTGAGGGATTCTTTGACCAGAGGAGAATACTGCAAAAAGGAAGAAGACAATCTTCTCTTCTACAGTTTGTCTGAAGCAGTGGCTTTTGCAGTGGACTCTCAGAAGCAGAAAGGAGTGTGTGTTCTCAATGGCCTGAGTCTTTCTGGTGACTGAGAAAGTAAATGAAAGGAAGAAGAGTGTCTTGCCAGTTTCAACGTGCAACATTTTCTACTGTGAAAGGAGAAAGTGGTGTACACTTGAATAGTTCTCCTTTGAAGCTAATAGCCTTTTGATAGTCTCACATGCAGTAGAGCTTATAGTTGGGTAGAATCAAAAAGAAGAAAATGCTGTGGCTTCAGACTTTCATGCAGATGAGCATTCTTGGGGGTCCAGTATAAATGGAATGGAACTGTAAAGCATCCCCCAAACTTGATCACCTTACTTTAGGGACTGCACATCTGAACTCCATCCTCCAGGAAGACAGAGGTGAAATTGGGGTTTGCTTTACATGCACTGGAGCCTTTGCATGACTCTGTGGAGAGGTGAAGGAAGGCAGTATTGCTGGTCCTGAGGCTGGTGAAGCATGAGGGCCTAACTAGATGAGTTCTGTTCTCACTGGTGTTTCTCTGTTTGCGTTTGGTTCCCAGACAGCAATAAGATTTCTGGCTGGTAGTTAGAAATACCATTTTCCTCTCCTTCAAGCAGAAACTGTGACATAGTCTCTTAAGAGGATCTGGTCCTGACAGCCAGCCTGACATTATACAGAACTTTATTGTAAACATCTGATGTTTTAGCCATGCCTTTTTATTTAGAAGAAATAGGTAAGGAAATAAACAGTGGGAGTCTTTGTTCTTCCTCTCCATCTGCTTCTGAGAATTTGCCTACTGTCAGGCTCTGTCTCCCCCTTGACTTTGCCTAATGCTTTCACCTGGAATCTGTCTTAAGTTGGTATTTCTGAATTAGTAACAGTCTTGTCAAGCAGAGCAAAATATTGGCTCAGCAGCTTCTTGCATCACTGTAATTGGACTTGTGCATTCTCAAGGAGAGATTGCAAAACAAAAGAAGAATGAATGAATGAATGACAGTTTCCCTTAAGAAATGCCACCACCAGCAACAACCAACCACTGTGGCATTTTAGCAAGGACCTGCTGGGCATTGGTAGTCTTTTTTAAATCGAAGTAGCTGTTTGTAGAAGACTATAGAGGTGATAGAGTGCTTCCAAAAGAACATCCATAATTGCTTTGCAACATCATTAAAACAGTGCCGATGCTTACTGTTGGCATATCATAAATATTGATGTTGGTGACCAGTTTTAACTTGTGTGCAGGAGTACTTTGAACCTTCTCAGAACCCTAGTTTAGCTGGTGTGTCATTCTCGGTAGCTGGCCACAGGTTATGAATTGAGTATTTTCTTCAGAAAAGCACTTTGACAGGTGAGAAAAGTTCACCCAAGTGAGGCATAGAGGACTAACCTATGTGAGATTAAAACACTTACCCAAGTCATTCAAGTCCCCATCGCCAAAGTGCAAAATCATTTTTAGCCTGTTCTTATATTCAAAACAATTTAAAATATTTATGGGAAGCAACCTCTGTGTAACGAACCTACTGAGATAGAATGCTTTTAAACATTACACACACACACACACACACACACACACACACACCTCTCTCTCTCTCTCTCTCTCTCTCTCTCTCCTCTCCTCCCTCCCTCTCTCCCTTCTCTCTTCACAAACTGCCCCTGTTGCTTTTCTATTGGCATTGCACTCATGTTTTCTTATGTGAGAAATACCTTTCTGTGATCCCAAAAGAAGTTTCAGAGTAGAAATTTTGGCTTTCTGTCTTCTAGGTGGTTGGTTAAGTTGATAAAGACCACATTGCCATGGAGTTTGACATCCCTCATGAACTCTGCTCTAGAATTTCAGAAATGTTAACTGCTGCTTGCTTGTTCTTTTGTTTGGCTCTCTGGCTTTATGAATTGTAAGATCACAGCATTGTAAGATCACTGTATCTCAGTAATTTTTTTTTAAATCCCTCCTGGCCTTTCCTCAAGCCAGGTTGGAATTAAGACTGTTACAGATGTTTAATACTCAGTGAGAGACTAGTAGGTACATGTTAGTGGCAGGGGGGGGGGAGGGGAACTAGAAAAAAAGT